TTAGTTGAGGATTTTGCAGATTTTATTTTGAATTTTGCAGCTCCTGTGCCAGGGCCTGGGCTGGACCCAGAGGAGCAGCCCCAGCCCCGCGTTCCGGAGGCAGCAGCTCAAGTACAACCTGGACAGTTTTTCCTCCAAAATTCCAGCTGTTACCAGTTCCTCCAAAATTCCAGCTGTTTTTTCCATGAAAAAACCTCACCCCTCGCTGCAGCACCAGGCTGGGCACTCCTGCAGCACTCCCGGGACAGGTCAGGCAGCAAAAACCCCAAAAACCCCCCAAAAAATAATCCCCATACCCCCAAAAACCAAAAACAAACCCCCAAGGAGCACCCAAAAAAAAAAAACCCAAAAAAGCAAAAAAAAACAAAAAAACCCCAAAAACCCTCAAAGAAAAGCCCCCCAAAACCCCAACTCCCCCAAAATAACCCCAAAACACCCCCAAAAAAACCCCAAACTCCCCGCCAAAAAAAAAAAAACCACAAAGCCCCCAAAAAACCCTCGAAAAAAACTCAAAAAACCCCAAAACCTCCATAAAAAACTCCAAAAACCCCCAAAAAAAAAAAAAAAAAAAAAAAAATCCGAAACCCCAAAAACCCTCAAAGAAAACCCCAAAAAACCCAGAAAAACCCCCCAAAATAACCCCAAAAAAACCCAAAGTAAAACCCCAAAATTCCCTAAAACCAGGGGTTCCTGCCCAGAATGGAACCCAAATTCCACCTTCAGGCTGCTCAATTCTGGGATTCACCAGCATTTGCATTCAGAGCCAGCCTGAAAGTGCTAAAATAGAGCAAAATGAGCTAAAATGTATAAAAATAAATGAAATTAAGGATTAAAATTCCCTTTTCCAGCCGCTTTCCTGCGGGGAGGGGACCCCTGGGACCCCGAGGATCAAATCGACCTCGACTCTTTTAACACCAAAATTTTCTTTGAGCTGCTGCTGAAACAGTCCCAGTCTGTCACCTCCAACCTGGGCCACTTCAAAGAAGAGGTAAAAATCATTATTTGCAATAAAAATAAAAACATTCATTAATAATTCGTTTTTTTCTGCTGCTGCTTTTCATGTTTAAAGCCTAAAACCAAAGAAATTTTGTCAGTCCATGTTGTTTCATCATGAGGCTGATGCTTTATTTCAATTTTCATCCATTTAGGACACGATAAATAAATCTGTCCTCATTTTATTAAGTATTTTCTAAAAGCAGGGAGATGAGTTTTAAGTTAAGAAAATAAGTTTTAAGGTCAAACACTTTGATTTTCTTACAATTTTTTCTCTTGGTACTGAACTGACAATTTTTGGAAAGTGACTTCAGCTTCCAGCTTCAACTTTCTGTTTGTAAAATGAAAATAAAGTGGATTTTCTATGCTGGAGAGCTGCAGGTTAAGCTGAGGAGAGATGAATAAATAACTAGAAATTATGTAATTTTAATTTTATAGTAAAATATAGAAATTTTGCTGCTGAAATCTATAGGAGAGCCCAAATCTGAGTCCACCTGTAGCACTCTGGTAAGGCCAGGTGAGGTTTTAAAGACAGCAGAGGGAGCTGGATCACAGTGAGCTTTTAACAGATAAATAATAAATAAATAAGTAAAAATGAATTTGATTATAAATAATAAATAAAAAAATCATTATTTGCATTATTTACACCAAAAATTCTCCCCGGTTTGGGTTTTAACACATAAAGGGAGATTTCAGCAGCTCCAAATTATCCCTTCACTCCTAATATCAGCTTTTTATTAATTATCTATTAATTTTTATTTATTTTCTTTCTAATTTTGTGCCTCAGGTGAAAGTTGTGTATCACAGGGTAATGAATGAAATCTCCTTGCTGAAAAAAATTTGGCTAAAGGCTCTGAGCAGCCCAGGAAAGGGGGAGGAAGATGAGGAGAGCACAGCAAAACAGCAGGTAGAGCTCAGCTCAGCAAGGGTTAAAAATGGAATAAATGAAATTTGTGCATGGAAAGGCAAATTGATACATGGAACAACAAACTGAATTGATACATGGAATAATAAATTGAATTTATACATGGAATAACAAATCGAATTTATACGTGGAATAACAAATTGAATTTATATATGGAATAAATTGAATTTATTTATGGAATAACAAAATGAATTTGTTACACAGAATAATAAATTGAATTCTCTTCTGGAAATGTCGCTTTTAGCGCAGCACATTTAAAATTTTGCAGGCTGCAAAACAATTAATTTGTCCACAAACAAGAGGTGCAACCCAAAACCTGCAAGGGATCCGAACAAAATAATAAAAAACTCACTTGAGAAAGACGTTAAATATAAGGCAATATTCAAATCATATTTGCAACATTTTAATTAACTTGGAGGATGCGAAAAAACTGAGATTTTTGGGACAATAACCACAGGAAAAGGGCAGCATTTTAACTTGCTGCAGCATTGATTGAGTTTGGGACAATCTGTTGTTAATCTATAATTGAAATTTTACGAGAATCTAATTTATTCTAATTTAAGTTTTTACATGAAAAGGCAGTGGAGGGCAGGAGGTTTGAGTTGATAAAATGCCATTTTTTACCTCAAAAAGCCTCTGTGCTGTTCCAGGTGCCTTTCCCTGGGTCCCCAGGGCGCTCTGGAACCTCTCAGAGCCCCGGGATTTTTGGCACCCCTGAAATCTCAACTGATCCACGCGACTCCATCCCACAAAAACTGATCCCACTGCTCCAATCTGCGCTTCAGATGCTGCAGGAAAACAAAAAAATCAATTTATCCCCTGAGAACCCAGGTAAGAGAGAAGAGGAAAGCACTGCCACTTCACTTTATTTTATTCTAATATTATTTCAGTTAAACGCACAAGATTCTCCATCTGACAGCTGCAAATCAGATTTTGGTTTTGTTTTGTTGGAGATCTCTTTGGGTTTAATGAGATTGGTGGAATTTTGAGCTTAATTAAATTAATTTAATTAATTAATTTTGCCCCAGGGTGGGACGAGCACTGAAATCACCTCTAAAACTCAGTTTTCCTTGCCAGCCCACACCAAATTTCTAACAAAGCTGCAGAACAGTAAATTTCACCTTTTTTTCTTCTCATAAACCAGCCACAATTGGTTGTGACTGGAAGATTTCTGCTTCATCCTTGATTATGATCAAATTTTGCTGCACAAAAACCTCATTTATTCTCCCCACCAGTGAAGGACAAAGTCTCAGCACCCAAATTTCCTGAATTTGCTGCTGACCAGCTCTAATGCCACTTTTCCAGACCTTGATTATGAGAAGTTCCTCTAAGAAAAGTCAATTTTTGCACGTTTCCTTCCTTATCTTTATAAGAATTCACAAGGCATCAACAGGGAGTCCTTTTTGCTTTGAAAAAGATGAAAATAAAGATGAGAAGTGCAGTGTTTTATCAAATTATATTGCAGAGTTTTACTCAATTGTATTGCAGCATTACCTCTTGGACAAAAATAAAGCAATTTTTTTTTAATCTAAATAAATTCTACTGTTCTTGCAGCAAAACCACACAACAACAAGTGGCTGATGAAGAAAAACCAGAATTTCCTTCACCTCCTGAGCAGCAGTAGAAGGGACAGCCTTGGACAGAAGGCACAGTGAGCATAAATTTTCTATTATTTACTATTTAAACTTATTATTTCACTACCTTGCACAGTACAATTTGTATCTCTGCTTTGCTCCTGTGAAAATAAAATTTAACACTGGCATTTCTTCTCTCTCAATTTAAACTTTTCCCTGTTTTTTAGCCCTGAAGAGGAAATTTTGAGCTCCTTTTCCCCCTCAGAGCTGGAGGATAAAGTGGACGCATTAACCGAGGAGCTGGTGCAGATTTTAGAGGATGAGGAGCAATTTTTAAGCAGTGAAGGCAATGAAGATTTTCTCTCTTATTACCTCGAAATAACCAGCTTGGAGAAGGAAAATTTGGTGAAACAAATCAATGCATTAGAAGAGGAAATAGCCCAGGGCAGAAAGTTGTGATGCTCAAAACTCTGTGGTTTGGCTCCTCCGCTTTGGGCATTAGGCTTCAATCCAGAATAAATCCTTTATTTCTGCTTTAATTCCAGCATCTTCCTCCCCTCCATCCCAGGGGCTCCTTAAATCAGTGCAGGAATGGAAGTGGCAAGATTTTGGCCGGAGGAAATGACATTTCTGGCCACATCGAAGTGCCGAGAAGAAATATTGCTGCAAAAGCCCAGCCTCGGAGTTTCCAGGAACAGGAGCAGAAAATAGAACCACTCAACTTCTAGTATGAAATAAATTATTCTTTAAACTAATGCATCACTCCACGAGGTGTTCTGAGGCCTCTGCAGCTGAGAGCTGCACTTTTCTGATTTTATGACACAGCAAAAACCACAGATACAGTTACTTGGCTTAATGATAGCTGTTTAATTAAACTTAAAGTGCAAGAAATTAATATTTTCCACCATGGAAGCAACGTCTGAATTCACCTTTTTGCAGCTCTGTGCTACCACCCACCCAGGAATGCACTTCCCTGCTCTTAAACCTGGAGAATCCGTCTCTCCTCCTCCCAAATTCCAGAGCCAAACCCCAAACCATGAAACATTCAATATTTCCCAACCAGTGAAACCTCAGCCCAGCCTCCAGTGGGGATAAAAAGCAAGTGAGGGAAGAGCAAAGTCACTCAAAACTCTTTTTTTTTTTCCCCTATCAGTACAAAACTCATGGGGACACAGCAGAATTTCCATATTTTTGTGTGTCACAAAATACCCCAGACATTTCTGCTGGTCTTAGATCCTGACACCTTTGCCAGAAGTAAAAAAAATGTTTTTCAAAGCAGCTTGGGGGTGGTTTTAACTTCCTTCACCTGCTGGCATTTCCACAAAAAAATCTCCTGAACACCCTTCAAGGCACCACCAGCAGCTGGCTTTGATAAAAAAACATCAGCAGATTTATTGATTTATGCATTTCCTTTTTAACTCACAAGAAGAGCCTCACATTACATCTTCAATCTTATGTTAACATCAATTAAAAACATTTAAAATCCCGGACAAAAACCACCCCCCCCAAAAAAAAAAATTCACAAATAGAGAGTCGGAGGCGGGGATTAGACAAGAAGTGCTGTTTTTATGAGGTTTTGCAGTGCCAGCCTTCAGCCCCTCACAAAAGCAGGGCTCCAAAATGCCAGAGGAGCCCTGGCTCTACCTCTTGGTGTTGATCCAGTGGTACCTGTCCACGCGTGGGCCAGCGAAAGTGGCCGTGGGCCTGTAGCTCCTGTGGCCCCTGTGCTGCCCAAAGTGGGAGCCCTCGGCCAGGTGGGGCTTCCTGTGCAGGTATGGCCACCAGGGCTGGGGGGGAGCCTTGCAGAAGTCAAACTGAGCAGCAAAAAAGGGAAAAAAAATAAAATTATAAAATTGTAAGTCTCAGATTCAAAGAGAGAAACGGAGAGTTTCTAGCCAGGGAGAAGAAGAATGTGAATAATTCTTTATCTCTCTTGTTGTTCACATGGTTTATAGTTAAGTTCTATCACTGTTCACCAATGGGGTGACTTGTTTTCACTTCAGGACCAATGGAGTTGGTCCTCACGGAGCTCTGTATAAAAGAGAAGTGTATTTTGAATAAACCAGAGTTTTACTCTCAGTTTATTTCCCATTGGTCCAATGGAGTTGGTCCTCATGGAGCTCTGTATAAAAGAGTGGTGTATTTTGAATAAACCATAGTTTCACTCAGTTTTTTTTTTCCCATTGGTCCAATGGAATTGGTCCTCACAGAGCTCTGTATAAAAGAGCAGTGTATTTTGAATAAACCAGAGTTTTACTCTCAGTTTTTTTTCCCATTGGTCCAATGGAGGTGGTCCTCACAGAGCTCTGTATAAAAGAGAAGTGTATTTTGAATAAACTGGAGATTTACTCTCAGCAGCCTTCTGAGTCAGTCTTTTCATTCCCATCCTGCCTCGACAGCGACATGGAATTTTTCTCCTTCCCCAGCAGAGTCATCCCAATTCCACCCCGAGGAAGCTGAGCCACCTCTGCTGCCTCCTCCCAAAGCTCCATCCCACCCACAGCAGCACTGAGGATGGGAAAAGCCTTGCAAGGACAAGCCCTAAGCTGTGTCCCTAAGTGCCACAACTTTCAAACCCCCCAGGGACAGTGACTCCGTCAGGGCTGGTCACATCCAGTGGGAACAACTCAATTCTTCACACGGTTCATACACACAGAGTGGTACAACGAGAATTAGTGAGCAAGAAATAGGCCCAAGGTTTCTAAACTTCGTTTCACGAAGCATGGACAAGTTTGACGCTTCAAACCAGACTTTTATGGGACAGTGACACCACGTGCCAGGGCTGGAAAACCCTGCCAGGGGAGAAATCAAACCTCAGCCTTCCCTGGAGCAGCTCTGGGCTGTTTCCTCCCATCCTGGCACTGGGAGAAGAGCCTGACCCCCACCTGCCAGAACCTCTCTGGAGGGATTTCAGGGTGAGGAACACACCAGAACCCCTGGTAGATGCTGTGAGCCTGACCCCCACCTGCCAGAACCTCTCTGGAGGGATTTCAGGGTGAGGAACAAACCAGAACCCCTCGTGGATGCTGTGAGCCAGAACCCCACCTGCCAGAACCTCTCTGGAGGGATTTCAGGGTGAGGAACAAACCAGAACCCCTCGTGGATGCTGTGAGCCAGAACCCCACCTGCCAGAACCTCTCTGGAGGGATTTCAGGGTGAGGAGCCCCCCAAGCTCACCTGGTAGATGCTGTTGGGGTTGCTGACGGTGGGGATGGCTCTGGGCTCCTTGCTGAAGCTCTCCTCATCTGAGGAGGTGCTGGAGTGATAGTCCAAGGCTGCCCTGCCCACAGCCAGGCTGATCTGCTGGGGCAGCTCGGGGTTCTCCTGCCCATCGAAGCGTGCCACGGTGAAGGGCCGGCTCCTCTCCCCGTACCTGCAAGAGCTGCAGGTGGGTGCTGCTGCTCTGCCAGGAACCAGCTCACTCCAAAAAGGGACCAAACCCTCTTCCAGGAGCCAGCTCACACCAAAAAGGGACCAAACCCTCTGCCAGGAGCCAGCTCACCCCAAAAAGGGACCAAACCCTCTGCCAGGAACCAGCTCACACCAAAAAGGGACCAAACCCTCTGCCAGGAGCCAGCTCACACCAAAAAGGGACCAAACCCTCTGCCAGGAGCCAGCTCACACCAAAAAGGGACCAAACCCTCTGCCAGGAGCCAGCTCACACCAAAAAGGGACCAAACCCTCTGCCAGGAGCCAGCTCACACCAAAAAGGGACCAAACCCTCTGCCAGGAGCCAGCTCACCCCAAAAAAGGGCCAAACCCTCAGGGGTTAATGTTGGGAGCAGGTTTGGGCGGATGGAACACCCAGCACTTGGTGTTTGTCAGCCCCCAGCGATGCCTTCACCTGGAGCTTTTGTGTTTCCCATGTCCTGCACTGCATTTATAACCCTAAACTCCACATACAGTGTCACCTTTAACCCTAAACTCCAGATAAATTTCTCCTCACAGCTCAGTCACACAAAAAAATCCTTTTCCAGCCCCAGAACCTTCTTTTAATTCTATTTTTAATTTCTTTTAATTCTATTTTTAATTTCTTTTAATTCTACTTTTAATTTCTTTTAAAGTTTATTCCTTTAGCTCTGTTCCCACCCTGTGAGCTCACCTGCAGCACACCTGGAAGGGATCCACCCACAGCGTCATCTCCTTGGGCAAGCCCAGCAGGCTGAAGTCCAGGTGGCTCTGGACACACGCCTGCTCCAGCAGGGGATCCCGGGCCTGGTGCTTGTTGATCCTGATGCACCTGGGGGACAGCAGAGGCAGCAAAACCATCCCAAAAATCACTTTAAGAGCACTTGAATTCTTCAGCCTGGCAGTCAGGGGCTATTTGAGACACTTGTCTTAAGATTTCCACCTCAGTTTTCCAATCCCACATTCATAGGTTTAAAAAAAATCCACCTCAGCTTTCTAATCCCACATTGATAGGTTAAAAAAAAAATCCCCCTCAGTTTTCTAATCCCACATTTTCAGGTAAAAACAAAAATATACACCTCAGTTTTCTAATCCCATATTCATAGAAGAAATAAAAAGACTTCCACCTCAGCTTTCTAATCCCACATTCATAGGTTTAAAAAAAAAAAACCACCTCAGTTTTCCAATCCCACATTGATAGGTTAAAAAAAAAATCCCCCTCAGTTTCCTAATCACACATTTACAGATAAAAAAATTTTCACCTCATTTTCCCACCTCTAATCACACATTTACAGGTTAAAAAAAAAAAGTAATTTTCACCAATTTTACCAATTCTTCCTTCAAGCTTAAGGGGTATCGTGGTGGTTCCCTTTGCATTATTTATTTCACTTTAAGGCCTCAGTTGAGGAATTGTCCCCCGAATGTCAGGCCAGGCTCCAGGATTTCCTCACCTGAAGGCCTGGCCTCGAGAGGGGTTCTCTGGGTACCAGTGATTTTTGTACTTTTCAAACAGGATGGTGGTCAGCTTGGCTGCAAACTTCTCCACCTTGTGCTTGCTCAGCCTCTCCTCCCTCCTCACCAGCTTGGTGATGAAGAAAACCGTGGCAGCAATTTCATCCTTCATCTTCAACTGCAGGGCAGGAGGGGCTGGGGCAGAGAGATTTAATAACATTAAAGCACCGTCAGCTTCCAAAAACTGATGCTGCAAAACAGCAGTTTAAATTTATTTTGGGATTTTAAAATCAGTCTAATGCATAACTAGAAGGCACCTGCACTAAGCACATTAAGAGAGACTATGTAAAAAAAAAAGTTTAAAATAGGAGGTGCAGAAGCACCACAGCAGAGAGATTTAATAAAATTAAAGCACTGTCAGCTTCCAAAAACTGATGCTGCAAAAGCTGCATGAGCCAGAATAAGCCTGACTGCCAAACAGCAGATTAAATTTATTTTGGGATTTTAAAATCAGTCTAATGCATTACTAGAAGGCACCTGCACTAAGCACATTAAGAGAGACTATGCAAAAAAAAGAGCTTAAAATAGGAGGTGCTGAAGCACCACAGCAAAAAGATTTAATAATATTAAAGCACCATCAGCTTCCAAAAACTGATGCTGCAAAAGCTGCACAAGCCAGGATAGAAAGAGCCTGGATGAGCCTGACTGCCAAACAGCAGAATAAATTTATTTTGGGATATTAAAATCAGTCTAATGCATTACTAGAAGGCACCTGCACTAAGCAAATTAAGAGAGAATATACCAAAAAAAAAAAAAAGGTTTAAAATATAATAGTTCTTATTTGTCACTCACATTGCAAGCAACACACTATACAAACACAGAGCTTTTTATGTAAAATAAGACCAAAAATATCACCTTTTCACAGCAGAGAGAGTAAAAACTTGAGCTAAACTTCACAAACTGCTTGAAGAAGCACCAAGAAAAGAGATAAAACACCACAAGGCCCCGGACCAGTGACACAGGAGAAACCCCAGCACCCAAAGGCTCCCTCCCTCTGGCCCTGGCACAGTTTGGGCAGCTTTTTATGGAACAGAATCATGTGGAGCTGAGGAATGTAAGAATTTTCAGGTGTGCAGGAGCTGCAGGTGTGTGTTGGATTGATTAACAAGCTGCTCCCAAGATATTCTCAATCTCCTTTCCCTTCTTTAGGGGGATTTCATTGATTCTGTTCTGAATTCTCTTGTGCCCCATAAATCCCTGTGGAATATTTAATATTCACCACAAGAAACAGCACCAGGCTTATTAATTAATTAAAATGGTGCTGGACTGCTTCTCTTTTTTTCCTTTTCCTGCTTCCTTTTTTTTTTTTTTTAACCTTTTTCTATTTTTTTCCTATTCTTTTCCACGTGAAACCTTCACATTTGGCTTTCCTTATTTAGAAAACTTCTTGATTCTGGATTATCACATCACTGATCTTCCTAATTCACATTATCAGCACAGATTTATATCATTTTTCGGGCATTTAAAACACAGAAAATGTCTCAGTTCCTCAAATGTCTGGCACAGAGAACAGCTGATTGTTCCATTTTTTTTTCCCTTTTTGCTGCCTCAGGAAGTTGTGTCTCTGATGTGAGACCCCAGAAACTGCAGAGGAAAAAGAGCAAATGGAGACAAAACGAGCTGAGTGTTCAAAAGTGATCACTTTTTATTTTTTTTTAACACTTTTGAGTGTTCAAAAGTGGCTCCTACAGGGGCTGGGGGTGGTGCAGCCCCTCAGTCCCCGTGCCCACATCTCAGCCTGGGCTGATGCCAGGCAGGGGATGAGAAATTCAGAGCCTGGAGGCACAAACTGTGTCCCCAAACCACAAATTTCTGGTTGTTTCTGCATTTCACTTCTCTCCCCTCACACAGTTCCTTCCTCGCACTTTAATTTCTTTCTGCATCACACAGAAAAAAAAATTAAAATAAAATAAAAAAAACCCAGCAAGGCTTTCAGTAGAAATTCTGCTTTTAAGGAATGAGTAATAAACACAAAACAACCCCATATTCCTTCTCTTCCTTTGTCTCACATATCAAACCTCCTCCTCAGCCCATGGGGACCTTTCCCTTTCCAAAACCACTCAAAAAGAACAAAAATCAGAGTCTGAGACAGGGAAAGGATCCTCAGAAAAAGCTTCCAGGCTGTTTTTTCTCAAACACAGAACCCCATTTTGTGCTCCTGGGATGAGACACCAGGATTTTGTTCCCTGAGTCATTCCTTCCTTTTCCCTGGAGAAAAGAAGGCAGGGCTCTGTTTTTTTGGGAATGCTGGAGGACAACAGGAAACTGCTGCTGGGAAGAATTTCCACCCAGCATTTTCTGGCCTCTGTCCGTGCAGTCTGTGAAGGTTCTGACTCTGTCTGCAGCCAGAATTAGCTCTGGAGCGTTCTTGGACAAGATTATCACGAGATTTATTCTTGTGATAAATCCAGAATCAAGCAGTTTTCTAAATAAGGAAAGCCAAATGTGAAGGTTTCATGTGGAAAAGGATAGAAAAAATTGAAAAAGGCAAAAAAAAAAGGAAGCAGGAAAAGGAAAAAACTGGCTCTTCATGCCTGAGGGCTGAGTTTTATTCTGGAGATTAAACTTCCTTTAAAAAGGTCACTTTAACTGAGTGGATTCCCTGCAGCCACATCAGTTTTTCTATGTTTTTAAACAATCTGTTCCAAAAAAAAAAACCACCCCAAAATAAAAGTTTTCAAGTGACTTTAAAGTTTTGATCACATTGATTTTGCTGCTGAACTGCAGGAGAAGCAGGTGGTACAAAAAAAACTCAGGGCAGCCACCACAGATCTGTGGGTTTTTAACTGAGGTGGCAAAATTGGTGTCCAGGGAAATGTCAAAGAGCAAGTTTTGCCGCTTTAAAATGGTGAGTAATGCACATAATTATAATTTTTAAGCTCTTCTCGGTAAATTTAGTCCTCTCTGGGTTTCCTAGACAATCCCAGACACACAGACTGAGATTCCTCTGGGGATGATTTTGTCTTTCTGACCAAAGTCTGGATTTTAAGTCTGATTTCTTTGATTTCACGTCATTTTTCCTCAATATCAGATTGTAACCTAATAAAAGCCATGACCACTTCCTCTCTAATTTCAGCCCCAGGAATGCTCCAGGGACCCTCTTGTCCCAAATTTTGGGGTGGTTGGGGGTCACTTTTTCTTCTTTCTCTAAACTTCCTCACTACATCTCACAACTTCCCAAGAAAAATCCTAAGAGAGAGAATCAAGTCTCTCTCTGTTCAAAAAATACAAATACCACTCCCCATTGCAGCGACAAGGAAAACTGGCTCATTAATTAGGGACATTAATCAGGCTCAAATCCTTCCCAGAGCTGTCGGATGTCACTGACTGGAAGGAAACACAGCCCTGGGTGCCCTGTTTGGGTAATAACTGCTGAGGGAGAAAATGCCTGAACCAAAACTGGCACAGCCTGTGCCAAGGAGAGAGAGAGATCCATGGAACAGCAGCCAACAAATTGTGCTCCCACTCATCCCCAGCTACCCCAAAAAGGAGCTGTTCTCATCCCAGCAGGTTAGCAAAACCCAGGATGGACAGCCAATGTTCTGACTGAGAGGAGGCAGGAGGAAAATGAGATGTTTGTGCCTTTTGTAAAATGATGCTCTTTCAATCCTTATTAGGAACAGGAAAAAAAAGCCAAACCACCAAAAACCAGAGCCTGGATGTGCATGGGACTGCTCCAGAGCTCGCTGAAACCAGGGAAATGAGTCCAAAGCCTTGAGTGGGACTGAAATCAGCCCCCAGCTGGGCAGGAGCATTCTTGGGCTGATTAAATGAGCTGTGCCCTGGGTCAGCAGGCAAGCCTAGGCTTGAGCCACGCAGGGACAGACCCAGGGACAGTTTCTGTAGTAACTGCAGCCCAGCCAAGAGCAAACAACTCCCCTGGGCGCACTCTGGCAGGAGCCACCCCTGCAGGACAGTTTTTTGTAGTTTTCCTCTTTTAAAGGCTTGAGTACATGGAAATAAAGAAGCCAAGTGCAGCTTGCCAGTGGCAATCTCCCCTCTGCAAGGCATTTGATTTTTGTGGGTGATGGAAGGCAGGCAGCTCCTCCAGGTAAGCAGCTGCAGTTTGTGGCTATTGCTATAAAAATCAGGAAGCCTGAGTGATTCCCATAGGGAAATGCATCCTCGGGGACAATCTCCTGAGGGAAAAGCAGCTTGCATTTGTCCTGGTCACATCCAGAAGCACCAATTCCATGGGGCATTAAATCAGGGGGCAGAAGGAACCTCATTCCTGGAGGTTACAAACTTCCATACTTGTAATTAAGCCATGAAGAAGAATTATTGTGGGCTGGAGTGAACCAGAAGCTGATTCTGATCCCCACCACAAAAACTGTAAGGGTTTGAGTACTCCGTATTGCTAGAATTTTATTAAAGATTTTGTGATTTAAGTAATAGAATAAACCTAAAAAACGCCACAGGTGTCAATCCAGGATGTTCTAAAATTAAATAACAAAGCAAAGGCTGCAAAGCTACCTGGGTTTATTTTATAGACTCTAAGACCTGTTGCCGTAACTCTTTTTAATTTTCTGGGTTTGCTTCCTCTGTTTGTGTGCCATGATTTCAGAGCTGAGCAAATCAAAGAGCAATGGCTGGGCACCCCCAAAAACCATCCCTGGGAGCTCTTCTGGGGCTCCCTGGTGGGAATTCCACCAGGCTGGAGCCCCAGGGACACGAGCTGGGACTGCCACCAGTGCCACCAGTGCCACCAGTGCCACCAGTGCCACCAGTGCCAGCGTCCCCTGGGGCCGTTTGGGTGGAAATTCCAAACTCGGGGTGTGTTTCCCATGTTGACTTTGCCCATGGAAACCTCTCTTGCAACAAAGCTGCCACGGCTGGGGCCACCTGCTCTGTCCCCTGGTCCCTCTGCAGGGTGGCCATGGTGACAGCAGAACACAAAGATCCCAGGCTGGGGCTGCCCTGGGGACACTCGGAGCCAGGAGCCCCAGGGGGAAAGATGGGAACATCCCAGGGTAAAAAATGGGAATATCCCAGGGGAAAAAATGGGAGAACCCCAGGGGAAAAAATGGGAACATCCCAGGGGAAAAAATGGGAATATCCCAGGGGAAAAAATGGGAACATCCCAGGGGAAAAAATGGGAATATCCCAGGGGAAAAAATGGGAGCACCCCGGGGGAAACGATGGGAGAACCCCAGGGGAAAAAATGGGAACATCCATGGGGAAATGATGGGAAAATCCCAGGGGAAAAAATGGGAGCACCCCAGGGGAAAAAATGGGAACATCCCAGGGGAAAAAATGGGAACATCTCAAGGGAAAAACGGGAACATCCCCAGAGGAAAGGATAGGAATATCCCAGGAGAAAGGATGGGAACTTCCCAGGAGAAAGGATGGGAACTTCTCAGGGAAAAGGATGGGAACATCCCAGAGGAATTCTGCCAGGGAAAGGCTCCTGGGAAAGGGAACAGGGAATAATCCACCCGTTTTTCCCTTCCCAGTAAATCATTTTTATCCAAACTCAGTCCTTTTCGGGATTATTCCAAGGTAAGCTGCTCCTGAATTCTTTAAGGTGTTTATGGAGGTGTCGGATAATATTTTTCCAAAATTCAGAGAGGTGTTTTAAAATTTTTATTCTATTTTTAGTTTTATGAGAAGGGTGAGATAATATAGATGTTATAATTCACGCTATCACAATTAGCAGTTAACTGTTTCTTAATTCCAAAACACCAGAAGTGTTTTTTGGTTTATTAGCTTTTTGTCACACTATGTTGTAGAGGTTTTAAAGGTAATAATTTAAAACTACTCTTTGTGGGTCTTACTCCAACACATTTTTTATAGTTCTATTTTTCTGAAATATCTCGTTTTATTTGTAAGAACATTTTTGAAACTTTTTTCCACCTCTGTTCCTCTCACGACAATATCTGTCTTGTTCCTTATGGCATTTCTAAGTCAGTATTTTTTTATTTCAAAGTTTGCACATTGTGTGGGTTTTCTGGCAGACCCCTCTACAAATCCATTTCCCACAAGGAGAGAAACTGGCAAAATTCTTTCATTTGCAGGAAAACTTCTCCTTGCAAGCCCACAGATTGTGTTTCTCATTCCTGTTTTAGCCTGATAATCTAATAAAAGAATAATGAAGTAATAAAATAATTTAAAAAATAATAAAAGAGCTTTATCACATTATTAATTGCATGCACATCTATCAGACAGGAGATGGGAACTCCTGACACACGCTCAGAAAAGAGCTGTTAATTTTTTTTTTAGCTGCCTCAAATGAGTGTAAAAATTGGAGCATTTTGACACCTGACTGACAGCACGATCTGTGCTCCTCTATTTTTTAGGGGAAAAAATGTGGAATTCAGGAAATGGTGAAATTCCAGCATCCCTACTGTACTTTGTTCTGGAAAATTCCACATGGAAATGGCACAAAATGCATGGCAGGGGACACGGAGCCAAGCAGGGACCGGGGACACAACAAACACCTGGGATGTGCCAACCAGGCACAAGGACATTTCCATGGAAATCTGCCCAAATCTGCCCAAATCTGCCCAAATCTGCCCAAATCTGCCGCTGGATTTTCACTCCCACCTCTGGATGCAGCAAGGACTCCAGGCCAAGCTTTTCCTTCTCTCCCTTTCCCATTGTGGTGCTGCATAATAATTTCTATTTTACTGTTGAATTGCTTTTTGCACTGTTGAAATGCTCTTTGTGTCGTGTTTGCTGCAGATTTTGTAAGTAAAAATCCCTAAAATGTGGTGTAAATACTAAATATAGATATAAATATTATACATTAATATATTTAAGCGATACAGGTGTATGAATATGGACATGAATATGAACATGAATATGAACATGAACATGAATATGAATATGAATAGATTTATAAATGTTGCTACAAATATAAATGTATATAGGTATAAATATGTAAAAGTGTAAATATAAATATAATTTTAAAGAACTAGAACTAGAACTAGAACTAGAACTAGAACTAGAACTAGAACTAGAAATAGAAATAGAAATAGAAATAGAAATAGAAATAGAAATAGAAATAGAAATAGAAATAGAAATATTTGGAATTTAGCAGAATAAGGGTGATATGACCAATATCTCCCATTTTGACCAATTCCTTATTATTTTAAGAGTGTTTGAGGAGATGGAGAATATGAATATAATCATTGGAAGTTTTTTCTTTCTTTCCAGGTTTGCATCCCGTGGCTCCAGGAGCAGTTCTTGGTTTGCAGGCAGTGTAGTTAGCTGATTGTCTGCAGAATTCCACAATCACTAACTTCACTGCCACCAAAACAAGGCACAGCGTTCCCCGCTCCAACCTCGGCCTGGAAACTCCCAATTTCCTTATTCCTACTGCAAAATCATGAATAATCTGATTTATCTGCACCTCTGTTTCCAGAATTTTAGCTGCCCACAGCAGTGAGTGCTGCACTTTGGTGATATAAAGTGAAATCTTGGATTTCTCGGAGTTGGTGCTAAAATCCACAGGAATTTTCCTGCACCAAGAATCCTGTCTGGTTTAAAATGTTTAATTTACTGTATACTTAATTTTTAATGCACACAGACTGGACTATGAATTATTTTATCTGCCAGACATCAATAATTTTCTTTATTTTTATTACATGTTTTACTAAGCAAGGTAAGTGAAGGGAGTTTTGAGCAATATTAAACTCACTGTAGGTATAAACTGGTATTTTTTTATCTGAACTAAGAATTTTAATTGGAGAAAATAATGAATAACGCCAGAATTGCTGTAGGAGGGACTTTTTGAAAGAAAAATTTGGGGTGAAAGGCTCTGCCATCAGCCTGGTTGCCAGGCAGTGTAGTTAGCTGATTGCCCAAAGCAACAATCACTAGCCACACGGCCAGGTAAAAAGGTCTGGAATTTGGGAGCAGGAATTTGGGATCAAGAAATTGGGAGCAGGAATTTGGGAGCAAGAAATTGGGAGCAGGAATTTGGCAGCAGGAATTTGGTAGAAAAATTGGGAGCAAGAAATTGGGAGCAATAAATTGGGAGAAGGAATTTGGGAGCAAGAAATTGGGAGAAGGAATTTGGGAGCAGGAAACTGGGAGAAGGAATTTGGGAGCAAGAAATTGGGAGCGGGAATTTGGGAGCAGGAATTTGGTAGAAAAATTGGGAGCAAGAAATTTAGTGCAGGAATTTGGGAGCAATAAATTGGGAGCAGGAATTTGGGAGAAAGAAATTGGGAGCAAGAAATTTAGTGCAGGAATTTTGGAGCAGGAATTTTGGAGCAAGAAATTTGGAGCAATAAATTGGGAGCAGGAATTTGGGAGCAGGAAATTGGGAGCGGGAATTTGGGAGTAGGAATTTGGGAGCAAGAAATTGGGAGCAGGAATTTGGGAGCAATAAATTGGGAGTAGGAATTTGGGAGCAGGAATTTGGGAGAAAGAAATTGGAAGCAGAAAACTGGGAGCAGGAATTTGGGAGAAAGAAACTGGGAGCAAACCCACGAGGATAAAATGGATTTTTGGGTTTTTTTCTTCTCCAGATTTGCAGGCTTTGACTCCCATTCTGACTGGGCTCGTCTCAGCCTCACCGAGGCCTCTGTTCTCACATTTCCCTCCGTTTATTCTTGTTGAATAAATGAAATTAAGGCCCGTGCTGGCAGCTTTCCCCATCCTTGGAGAAGCTGGGCTAGAGTGGAAATGACCTGAAAGAAGATGGAAACTTCTACTGAACCCCAATTACTGACCTGGTTAATTAGTGTGCCCCACCAGCAACAGAACACAAATAAAGCAAACTCACACTTTCAGCCTGCCTCTGTAATTATCCTTTTTTTCCCCCTAATTTTAGTAAAGCACTCCCTATTTCTAGCAAAAAGCTGGGTTTGGGAACTGAAAGTGGACTGAAAAAAGATGGAAACTTCTGCTGGAGCCCCAATTACTGCTCTGGTTAATTAGTGTGCCTCTCCATCAACAGAGCTCCCACAAATAAAGCAAACTCAGGAAAACCATTAAACACAGAAATCGCATTTTCAGCCTGACTCTGCAATTTTTTTTCCCTAATTTTAGTAAAGCACTCCCCAATTTCAGTGGAAATCTCACTTTGGGATCCGGGCCAGGCAGAACAAGCTGCAGGAGGTGCTGAGCTCTGCAAGCCTTTCCTGCCAGTCAGCAAATCCCCTTTCCCCATCAATAATCCCAAAAGGAATCTCATCCATCACCAGCCATTAGTCTGCTCTGAATTCTGGCTGGAGCAGCAGCATTTCACTCAGGCTCCCATTCTTTTTTAATTTTTAAAAAAAAAAATTAATTCATTGGAAGGTTGGTCTTGATGGGTTTGGAGGGGTTTTCCAAGCAGGGATGGAAGCCAGGATTTGGCAGCCATAAAGATTCATTTTGAATGGCTTTACACAAATATAGGACACCCTAAAAGCATCCCATAAGTCTAAGAAAATTCAAATTAATGCAGGGGATAGAATAAGAATAATGTTCAGGTATTATCACTCACAGATATTGCTTAGTGTTCAAATCCAGATTTCAGATTTGATTCAGACATGAACAAATCCGAAGAAGCAAACCCTGGGAATGGTATAAACCTGGGAAGAAAAATGGGTTTATCCAACAAATTCCTTGAGCAAAAGGATCCTGCAGGCTGGGGAACTCAAATTCCAGGCCAGGCACAGCAGGTAAATGAAGTTTAAACAAGCTAAAAAAGGTTATTAAGGACAACTTTCTATTTCAAAATGACAAGAAACAAGGGTGTGAGTCTAAATTCCTCAGTTTAATATGAAAGGAATCTTTACAGCCTGGCCATTGTTGCTTTTTTTAATTTTCTATTTTTTCCATTGCTGTCTCCACTGAAACACAAAAACTCAGTTTATAACCGAGTTATCAAACCAGGCTCTCTGCTCCCTAAAAAGCTCTCAGAAATTGGATTTGAGCAATAAAGCAAGAATTCCATCTGGGGATTTTTATTATTATCAGCAGTGAAATGTAGATTTACTGATTTAAAATGGTTTGGCCTGGCCTGGCCGGATGTTTATCAGGAGAATAAAATCCAGGAATAAGAGGTCTGGATTCTATTAAAGCTTTTCTTTCCTTCTCCTGTAATTCTCAGGATACAAAGCAGAGACAAATGAGTTGAAGGTTAAGAACCAAATATCTGAATTAATACAATTTAATTCCTCAATTGTGCAGAGTAGCACTGAGATATTAAAGCTGATAAGTGCAGTGATTGGAGAAATAAGCTGGAAAACAAGATTTCAAAAGGTACTTTCAGGAATGACGTCTTTATTTTGGACATAAAAGCCTCCTTTTTTTTCCTTCCTCCTTATTTAAACTTTTCAGTGGGTTCCTATAAAGCACTTCCTCTTCTCAAAGTTTATTAAAATGCTGAACTAAGTCTGCCTGCTTGGCCCAAATTCTGGCTTTTATTTCCCTTGGTCCAAACACTCAGATTCTATTTAGGGGGAAAAGATGTCCTGGATATTATTATTATTATCATCATCATTATTATTACTACTATTACAATAACTACTCTGTTTTATCCTATACTAATATATGTTATTACCAGATTTAGAAATTAAAAGGCTGCTGCTGTTTTTCTATGCTTTTCTCCTTTATTTTATGTATATTTCCCATTTCTTTCTCAATAGTGAATGAGAGAAGGAAATGGGAGCTTCAACATTTTTCAGAAGGAAGCTTCACCATTGTTTAATTTTGCTTTAATTTGGCTGGAAATCTGCCCAATTTTGCTTTAATTCCATGGAAATCTGCTCAAATCTGCTCAAATCTGCCCAAATCTGCCCAAATTTGCAGCTGGATTTTCACTCCCACCTCTGGATGCAGCAAGGACTCCAGGCCAAGCTTTTCCTTATCTCCCTTTCCCATTGAGACGCTGCATAATAATTTCTATTTTACTGTTGAATTGCTTTTTGCACTCTTGAAATGCTCTTTATGTCGTGTTGCTGCAGATTTTGTAAGTAAAAATCCCTAAAATTTGGTGCAAATACTAAATATAGATATAAATATTATACATTAATATATTTAAGCGATACAGGTGTATGAATATGAATATGAACATGAACATGAACATGAGTGTGAATATGAATATGAATATGAATATGAATATGAATATATGTATAAATGTAGCTACAAATATAATTATATATAGGTATAAATATAGAAAAGTGTAAATATAAATATAATTTAAAAGAACTAGAACTAGAACTAGAACTAGAACTAGAACTAGAACTAGAACTAGAAATCTTTGGAATTTAGCAGAATAATGGTGATATGAGCAATATTTTCCATTATTACCAATTCCTTATTATTTTAAGAGTGTTTGAGGAGATGGAGAATATGAATATAATCATTGGAAGTGAAAAATTGGAAAAGACCAATTTCAGAATCAGCTTCTCCTGTTTTAAAGCGTCAATCCCGGTTTTTCTCTGCCTGAACAGATTCACTTCTCTGCTTTTCCGCCACTTGGGAAAATCTCTTGGAGAGCCCGGGGCTGTAGGAAACGGGCGCGGAGCAGCTTCCAGGAAAGGGCTGGGCTTTATCCATGCGGGAATCACAATTCCCGTGCTCCGCTTTCCCTTCCCAGGGCAGAAATTTTGGAGAAAATCCCGGGATTTTGCACTTAAATTTTGCCGTGATCCGACTCAGAATAGTCAGGTTTGGAAAATTGGGATTGGGATGGATCAAATGGGTTTATCCATGCGGGAATCACAATTCCCATGCTCCGTTTTCCCTTCCCAGGGCAGAATTTTTGGTGTCAATCCCGGGATTTTGCACTTAAATTTTGCGGTGATCCGACTCAGGTTTAGAAAATTGGGATGGGGATGGATCAGTGTTTGGCTGGAGCGGCAGGAAAGAACAAAGCTCATCCCGCTCCTCCTCCGCTGCAAATCCACATCTGGGAAAGCGAAGGAAAAACCTTTCCAAAAAAATAAAATAAAAATTAAAAAAAATCCGGAATGCTCAGCGCGGGGCTGGATCCGCCCGTGGGTGGTTCCTGGTGGGCGGGGGGTGGGATGGGGATGGAAAGGGGATATAAAGCGGATATAAAGCGGATATAAAGCGGATAGAAAGCGGATAGAAAGCGGATAGAAAGCGGATAAAAAGCGGATAAAAAGCGGATAAAAAGCGGATAAAAAGCGGATATAAGCGGGATCGGGGGGATGAAGGGCTGGGAGCGCGATCCGGGCAGGAGCAGCCCCGGGGCGCTGCCGGCTCCGCGCTGAGCCGAGCCCGCCGGAGGAGGAGGAGGAGGAGGAGGAAGGAAGGAGGAGCTGTCGCTGCCGCTGTCTCTGTCGCTGTCTCTATCGCTGTCTCTATCGCTGTCTCTGTCGCTGTCTCTGCCTCTGTCGCTGTCGCTGTCGCTGTCCCGTCCCGGCGGAGCGATGCTGGCGGCAGCAGCGCTGTGCGCGGCCGCGCTGGGCTGCGCGGCGGGGGCGCGGCTGCTCAGCGGTAAGAGGGGCTCGGAATCACCGGGCATCGCCGGGAGATTGTGTTGGCATCCTCCCCATCCCAAAAAACCCCCCCCCCGGCCCCGCCACCCTCGCCTCTGGGGCTGGGAGGGATGCGCGGATGTCGCGATATGGAAGGGATGCTCTTGGCTGGTGGCGGGGCAGGGGAGGGGTGGTTTGATCGTTTTGGAGGTTTTCTCCAATTTTTCCAGCGGATTTTCCCCGCCGCCCTGGCCTGGGGGGCTCGCTGGAGTCAGCGGGCAGATGGCGAGGAGGGGATAAGGGGGAGTACAAGGAATCCTTTCAGCCTTGCTCTGAGCTGCACATTCCAGCTCCGAAACCGAGCAGTGAAATCCAGCCAGGAATCAACTCCAGCTGATTTCCTTGGCGGAAAGTAATGGCAAGTTTGGCTGATAAGGCAGAAACTTTCTCCCTCTTTTTTCTTTTCTTTTTTTTTTCTTTAATGAGTCAAAAATGTGTTTGTGTGTATTCAGAAAAAACCCGAGTGCAGTTTTTGTGACGCTGCTTCTAGAGAGTTGCAGATTTTTAATGACACTCTGCTGTCTGTGTTTTCCTTTTGCCTCTCCCAGCAGCAGTGGATATTTCCCTCAGAAGAGGTAAGGGGCTTTGCCTTTTTCTCTGAGTGTCAAATTCCCCAGAGGAACACAGGCTATGCTAGAAATGTATTTTTTAATAGTGCTGTTGTAGTAAAAATCCTGCTCCTATTGTATTACCTGTGCAAAATATTAGCAAACTCCATTTCTGGCTATTTAACTGCTGAGAAATCCCAGTGTGAAAGGTGTTTAAACTCCCACTCCTACAGTGGCCAACGTAAAAGGATAAAGCAAAGCCAGCAATGATCCCATGGCAGAGTTTATAATGACCTCTCCTTGTATTATCCCATTTGTTCCCAGCACACCACAAATGTGGTGAATGTTTTGCTTCTGTAAAAACACGTAGGTTAGCAGATTGTGCCTGCAAAGAAATATTTACTGAGCAAAACAAAACTGTTTGTTTCCACAGTCTAAATATTGGGACTGCTCTGCTGAAAAAAACACACGAGTGCATCATTTTGGATGATGTGTCTTTTCACTTTGATCTTCCCTCGGAACCAAAATAAGCTCTGCTGCTTCTGCATGAGACAGTCCTTGGCTTGTGCCAGCCTGAAAACAGACATTGTTTACTCCCTGGGCAGGCAGAAACATTGCAGAGCACAGAGCAGAGCTGGAACTTGGGCTGTGGGAACTCATCTTGTGATCCTCAGTACAGACACTGGAAAAGGAAAGGGTTTGAGGTTGGATGTAAATGAGAATTTCTTCCCTGTGAGGGTGGCGAGGCCCTGCTTGGCCAGAGAAGCTGTGGATGCCCCATCCCTGGAGCGTCCCAGACCAGGCTGGACTGGGCTTGGAGCAGCCTGGGATAGTAGGAGATGTCCCCATGAGATGGTTTTAAGGTCCTTTCCAACCCCAAATATTCTGGGATTCACTGCGATATCCATTGAACTATTGCATATAGATATATTATATCTATATTGCATATCTATATTATATCTCGATTGTATATAGATATATATTATTTCATATAGATATATATTGCATAAAAGATAAATCTTGCTATCGCTGCTTGTATAAGGAAATATCTAATTCTGACCATTTAACTACTTAAAAATAATCATCATTTTAAAAAGCCTCTTTGAACCCTTGCAAGGGAACTTTGCTCTTTAAAAGGTCGTATCAGTTTGCTGTGGCACAGCGTTTCTTTGGGAGGAACTCCCGGGATCTGCAAATCCCAGAAAAATCACGAGGGGTGTGAAAGGACCAACCTAAACTTTGAGATTCAGCAATAAAAATTTGGAGATACCATTTGCCAGCCCAGTAACACAAGAGGCTTTTACCTGCGCTGTGTTTTCCACACGAACAGCACAAAATTAATCCAAATCGATGTTCTATGCTTAATTTTGGCCCCGTTTAGCACCGTTGCTGTAAGAGTTTTCTCTCCCTCCCTGCAGGGCAGACGGTTTGCAGGCGTGGGACGCAGAAACCCTGCTACAAAATCGTTTATTTCCACGATGCCTCCCGCAGGAGCAGCTATGAAGAAGCTCACCTGGCCTGCAGAGCTGACGGGGGACATTTGGTCAGCATCGAGAGCCCGGCGGAGCAGAGACTGATTGAATCCTTCATCAGGAGCCTCCTGCCTTCTGATGGAGACTTCTGGATAGGGCTGAGGAGGAGGAAGGAGCAGGAGGACAACAGCACAGAGTGCCACAGATTCTACTCCTGGTCTGATGGGAGCTCGTCCAAATTTCGGTGGGTACCTGCGGCTGGCAGTGTGAGGAAACCCAAGGCACTGGGAATATCCCACTGGGAATATTCCTGTCTGCTCTGGGGGAGGAGGACAACAGCACAGAGTGTCACAGCTTCTACTCCTGGTCAGATGGGAGCTCATCCGAATTTCAGTGGGTACCTGGGGCTGGCAGTGTGAGGAAAACCAAGGCACCGGGAATATTCCACTGGGAATGTTCCTCTGTCTGCTCTGGGGCAGGAGGAAACCCAAGGCACTGGGAATATTCCTCTGTCTGCTCTGGGGTGTCCTGACCCCCAGGGAAACACTGACTTTGACCCTCATTCATGGAGAAATTTTCCAAAGCCTCAAGGTAAACCAGAAACCACAAAAGTGTGAAATAGATTGTAGAGAGTCATGTATTCTGTCACATGGGTGAGAAATTTAAGTTTTAGGATTTTTAGTATGCTACAGATGGGTTCAAGATGGAGGGAACAGGGTGTTGTCTTGAGTTCCCTTCTTCTTTCTTCTTCCTCCTCTTTCTTCTTGGGTTTGGGTGGTATCTTGTAATTGGGTAGAAAAATCTGCATTGTGGGTCTTCAGGGGTCAGTTATTGGGTTAGAAAGGAAAGTAATTCAGGTGTCACTTCTTAATTGGTAGCTTAGTTTTTAATTAGGCTTACAAGGCCTTGTAACATGAGATTGTTGGCCATTTTTGTGCTGTTTTTCCTGCACGCAGAGTCTGGTGCAGACAGCGTGCTGAGGTTTTGATGAGATAACAATAAACAGAAGCTGAAGAGCGAAAAAATTCAATGCAGCTCTTGTTCCTGACATAAAACTGCTCCAGGAGGGTCTCCCCAGCCAGGGGAGCCCTCAGAGAGTTGCCCAATTTAAGGCCCACAAACTCCCAGCAGTGCCTTCAGGAATTCAGGATTTTGTCCAGGCTGTGATGTCCCAGCTGTCACTTGTGCTCCTTCTGCACTCCTCACACGAATCCCCCTCCTGCTGGAGCTCTGTGGGAGTGTCTGCTTTAAAATGATCATTTTGGGGGGCTAAATGAGCGGAAACAGCAACGGGTATGGCCTTAAAAATTACCTGATTATTAAATTAATTAATTAAATTATTAGTGAATGAATTAAATTATTAAATCTGATTAGGCAGCAACAAATCACCTGAAGTTTCCTGCACTGCAGATCCCATGAAGTTTATGCCTGATGTCCTGAAAAATGAAAAATTTTATTCCCTTACTGAGAGAATAAATTAGAGCTGCAGGATTTATTGCAGACATGGAAAACTAAAGTAGTCACATCACTTTTTAGATTTCTGCCTCCTTGTCTAAAGGAACCACAGGATTTGTTATAATTAAATTATAAAAGCAACAACACTGACATCAATTTGCATCCTTATATCAGACATGGAAAAAACACCTTGGAATTGTGACCTTTTTGCTCTGGGAGCCCATAAGGCGTTTCAGTCACTCAGAAATGAACAAATAAAACCAGATTTTAGTATTATTTGATATCTTAAAGTCTCTCCTGTGGATCAGATATTGGGGGTGGATAACGGGAAGCTGGAAGCAGAATCTGCTGCTAAGAAACAGGCCCAGCTTTCCTGCCTTCCATTGGTGAGACACACTTATTTATGCTGAATTTTAAAGCCAAGGAAAACACCAGGGGAGGAAGGAAGTGAGGGAGGAATAAAGCATTGGAAAGCTGGAAAAATACTGCTAAAAATGGGTGTTCTCCCATGCTGAGTACCTCGGGATATCTGGAATTATTTACGTGCTTGCAGCAAATTCTTGGCAGGCAGAACATTGCTCGTTCCACAAACAGTGGGGATTGAACAATTGGCAAAATCAGGACAATTTTAGAGGTGTTCTCTGCGTTGTATAAAATATCTCCTCACCAACAGTGATTTTACAGTGCCACCTCCTCCCTGTGCTCTGCTTGGGAAAGTGGCACAGGTGGTTGGTGGTGAGGTTTATTCTTAGAAAACAAACAAACAAAAAAAAATTATCTGCAAGACTGTGGTGGTGCATTTCTGACAGAGGAAGCCAGGTTCTGCTTCTCATTTTTCATTAAATAGGTGCCAAAATTTTGCAGGCGCCGAGAGCGAGAGAGCAAAAATGGTGATTTTTGCACAGGCCTAAAATTGTGTGGGAAAACTCCTCTGCAAGGCTCAGTGAAAGCTCAGGAGAACCTGGACTTGCTCTATACAATTTCAGCTCATTTTGAGCTACTCTGATGTTCAAGAAAGGACCTTGTCTGCAAGAAAATAGTGAATTCTAAACCCACATTCTTAAAGATGCACCCAGGGACCAGAACTGAATCTGTTTCTGGTTTATTCCATGGTCTCCATGTTCATTCCTAACACTGCCATTGCACTTAAGAGACAAATTCATAAAAAAGCAATAATAAAAATCTGTTAATTGTGCTAGATGAGATGTTTTGGTAATGCTGACTGGGGCAGGAAGGAGGGAAGGGTGATTGTGAGGCGCTCAGCCCTTTGCTCATTGATATTTATTGAACGCCTTGCTTGCAGAGTTGGAAAAATCCGACTTAAAAGAAAAAATAAGTACATTTATCACTCCCATTTCCCCCAGTGGAAGTGCAGGGTGTGCCATAATCCCTTTAACTCTGCTTTTATCCCCACCCAAGCTGCTGGAGGGTCCCCCTGTGTCGGAATCTGAGGTATTGATGATTCTGAGATTGTAGAAAGTCTCTGTCTGTCAGCCCCGCTGCCAAAGCAGAAGCCATAATTGGTCTGTGCTGTTTCAAGGCTGTTTATTCTGTTTATCTCTAACATGTTCTGCTGCCCTGCCGCAGCTCTGTCCTGCAGGGCAGCGTGTGGGGCTCTGCCCTCAGTGGGATGGTACAAACATTAAATACCACAAACTACCTGTGCTGGATTTACAATAACGTGCCAATATCTGTCACCTACGTTGGACAGTGTGTCCCCAGCCTGAACCAACAGAAAAATGCCAACACCACAGTGAAACATGGAGGGCATGAAGAAGGAGAAAAAGGACAAGGCACACCCAATTTCCTCCATCTTGTCCCCTTTGGACCCCTCATCTAGAATCCTAAAATTTTACTTTTGCACCCGTGCCACACTTAATTATTACTCATATCAAACACTCAGAGCTGGTAATTGATCCTGTAGGATTGAAAACCCTTTTCCATGGCCAGAGATCACAGCCAGTGTCTCTGGGGGCTCTGTCCAGGGGGGTTCCTGACCCCTGCCAGGGTCCCAGGGCAGCCAGAGGGAAGCTCTGGATTCCCACAGTCCTGAGGAGGTTTTTTTTTGTGCATTTCCCCAGGAATTGGTACGTGGACGAGCCGTCCTGTGGGAGTGAGGTGTGCGTGGTGCTCTACCACCAACCCTCCGCCCCGCCAGGCCTGGGGGGCCCCTACATGTTCCAGTGGAACGACGACAGATGCAACATGAAAAACAACTTCATCTGCAAATATTCCCTGGGTAAGGAGGCTCTGTGGGGTTTCAGCCCCACCCAGGAGGAGCACAGGGAAAGCCTCCCTCAGGTTTTAATTTAAGCAGCAAATTGGGGGGAAAATCCCCCTATTGTGTGTCTGGAGCTGCTCGTGGTTTGCAGGAATTCCCTGGGGGTTTGTGTGAAGGGTTTGAGGTCTCAGATTGGGGGAGAGCACTGAAGAGCAGTGCTCAGGTTGGAAATTGTGCATTGCCCTCATGAGGAAATTCTGCATTTCTCTTTTCTTCCAGAGAAGCCAACAAAACCTCCCATAGACAATTCCCGAAGAGGTGAGTTGGAAATATTTGTTTGGGATTTTTTTTTTCCTAATTATTGCTGACTTGCAGTGGAAATGCTCTGCAATTCATTGTCAAGAACACCCAAAAAGCATCCCGAGCAAGAATTTGCACTTTGCAAATTCTTACAAATTGCAGTTTGCACTTCCCCTGTGCTGTCCCATCCTGCAGGGAAAATCTTGCAGCTGGTGATGCTGCAGGGATTGAAGTACAGGAGTCCCAGAGCACCTCACACATCTTTGCAGCTCTCAGCCTCTTCAAAATCCTCTCAGCCACGCTTTTTATTATTTCTAAAAAAACATCTGAGGTATTAATGAAGCTGCTTCTTTCCAGCTGTAGCAACAGAGCCCTGGAAGGGAGAATTCCCAGAGGAACGCTGGAGGAAAGGTGCCAATGGAACAGCTGGGGGAGCCAAAGGTAAGCTGTGCCCTCAAAACCTCATTTCAAGTGTTTGACTCAAAATGTGGAATGCTGAATATAGAAAACAGCCTCTGGGAAAAAAAACTTCCCTCAGGTATTTCCCAGGACAAAATAAGGAGGTTGCTCTGGTGGTAAAAATGTTCAAAATCCAAAGCTGTGCAAAGCGTTTTGGGTGTGAAAAAGCTACTTTTATTATTTAGTTATTGTGAATTATATTATTCTATTTATTGTGAATGTTATATAATGAATATTATATTATTATTGTGAATTTTATTATTGTATTTATTGTGAATGTTTTGTTTGTATACATCTGTGATTAACCATGAAAAACTTGCAATTTCTTCTTATGACCCTGCTTCATTTTTACGCCCAGAACCTGCTCAGAGCCTTGCCTACATCCTGATTTCCAGCATTCCTGTGCTGCTTCTCCTGATGACCATCACAGGCATCTCCTGCTTTTGGCTGTTCCTGAAGAGGTGAGCGGCACTTGTGTGTTATGAATTAACAGGGACACAGCAAACAGTGTTTGCAGCCACAGAAATGCTGAAAAAGTGGTGTGGATGCTCCAGGCTGGGTTAATTGGGAAGGAAAATTCTAAGTAAATCACATTATATTAATGAGTTAATCTCCAACTCCTTGTCAGAGTTCTGCTGTTGGTTTGTGTTCTCTTCTGTGCCATTTTCTGGCTTTTCTTGATTCTGCTGTTGGTTTGTGTTCTCTGTGCTATTTTATGGCTTTTCCTGAGCCCAGCTTGGCTCAAGACTCATCACCAACTCCCTGTCAAGGTTCTGCTGTTGGTTTGTGTTCTCTGTGCCATTTTATGGCTTTTCTTGATTCTGCTGTTGGTTTGTGCTCTCCCCTGTGCTATTTTATGGCTTTTCCTGAGCCCGGCTTTGCTGGAGACTCATCACCAACTCCCTGTCAAGGTTCTGCTGTTGGTTTGTGTTCTCTGTGCCATTTGATGGCTTTTCTTGATTCTGCTGTTGGTTTGTGTTCTCTGTGCTATTTTCTGGCTTTTCTTAATTCTGCTGTTGGTTTGTGTTCTCCTCTGTGCTATTTTATGGCTTTTCTTGAGCCCAGCTTGGCTCAAGACTCACCACCAATTCCCTGTCAGAGTTCTGCTGTTGGTTTGTGTTCTCTGTGCCATTTTATGGCTTTTCTTGATTCTGCTGTTGGTTTGTGCTCTCCTCAGTTCTGTTTTCTGGCTTTTCTTGATTCTGCTGTTGATTTGTGCTCTCCTCTGTGCTATTTTATGTCTTTTCTTGATTCTGCTGTTGGTTTGTGTTCTCTGTGCTATTTTCTGGCTTTTCTTGATTCTTCTGTTGGTTTGTGTTCTCTGTGCTATTTTATGGCTTTTCCTGAGCCCAGCTTTGCTCAAGGTTTATCTCCAGCTCCTGTCAGAGTTTGCTGTTGGTTTGTGTTCTCCTCTGGGCTATTTTCTGGCTTTTCTTGATTCTGCTGTTGGTTTGTGTTCTCTGTGCCATTTGATGGCTTCTCTTGATTCTGCTGTTGGTTTGTGTTCTCCTCTGTGCTATTTTATGGCTTTTCCTGAGCCCAGCTTTGTTCAGGGTTTATCTCCACCTCCCTGTCAGAGTTTGCTGTTGGTTTGTGTTCTCCTCTGGGATACTTTCTCACTTTTCTTGATTCTGCTGTTGGTTTGTGTTCTCTGTGCCATTTGATGGCTTTTCCCCCCTCAGGAGACAGGAGCTGGTGGACCTGAGCCCGAAGGCTGCGGGGGCCTGGCTGCCCCAGCCCGGCAGGGACAGTCCCGAGCTGGACATTCACAGGGTGATCCGCAAACAATCCGAAGCTGACCTGGCTGGGGCCAGGCCTGGCACGAAGAATTCCTCCTTCCGTGCCCAGGAGGGGCCGGGGAGCCCCTGCAGGGACCCCGAGGACACCTCCAGCAGTGGCTTGGTGACACTGGCCAGCACTGAGAGTGGCTTTGTCACCAACGACATCTACGAGCTCTGTGGGGACTATGTGGGCAGGAGCAAGGAGTCCACCTGGGTGGACAATGAGATTTACGGATATTGAGGAAATGGACCCAAAAACCCCACTGGATGTGGAGTTTGAGTGCCAACACGAGTTTACTTGCACTTGTTTAATAATGATATGTGTGGTGCTTGTCCTGGTTTTGCATTGTGCCCTTATTCTTCTGTTTTCTGCAAGAATGGGGGTTTTTAAAGATCCAAACTGAAAAGAATGTTCAGATTTTGCTTTGCACCGAGCTCCCTTTGCCCCAGGAATGGCTTGTTAATACCCTCCATTCCTTTTTGTACCAAAGATATGCCTTGAAAGTGAAGGACAATCCAAAATCCTTATTTATTTATAGACCTCCTCCTCCTCAAAGGTGCTAAAAGTCACTTGCAATGTGTGCTGGAGCCCTGCTCTCCTGGAGATGCTGAGCAGTGGCAGCTGGGGAAGGAATCCCTTGGTTTGCTTTGCTTGTGTGTGTGACTTTCACCGTGCCTATTAAATTTCTTTATCTCAACCCATGAGTTTGCTCATTTTTACTCCTCCGATTCTCTCCCTCATTCTGATGGAAGGGACAGAGACCAAGCAGTGGAAGGGGAATGACCAAGCAACCAAAGAGCGCCGGGCAGAAACACAAATATTTCACACCTTTTGTTCTGCAGGTGATTTTCTGGCTCTGGGAGAGCAACACTGCTGCAGAACAAGATTATGAAGCACCTAAAATGTGTTTTAGTTGCCTAAAAGTTTGCTGTTCTCCATTGCACATCAATAAATAAATAGGGAAATGAAAAAAAAAATCATAAGCTGGGAGGAAACAAAGGTTTGGCAAAAAGGTGTTTTAAATGTGGCTGAAACAACAGAGCTGAGTGCAGGCATAGCCATGAATCTCTTCTGCCAAAATAGGCAGGAAGAAGTTTTTAGATCTCTGAGCTGTTGCTGACTGCTTCAAACAATGAAATATTTCAGTTGTCACAGCTGCTTCTCACTTCCTAAATGTCCCAGGTGCTGTGGCTGTGGCTCTGCAGTGTCACAGTGGCTGTTCCTCCACCAGGGCAAATAAAGCCCTGAAAGGAGAAATCCCTTTAAAAAATAAATCATCTTCCAATTGTTTTGAAAACAGCATCGAGTGGGCAACAATTTCTCCTGAAAAGCAAAATCCTGATACAGGAGAGTGGTCAGGGCTGGGCACTCACAATATCTGCAATTTCTACTGCAATAATTAATGCAAATCAAGCAAAAGTCTGCCCACTTCTAATCTTGTGTTCTTGGCCTCCTTATTTTTTTTTTTTTCTTTTTGGCAGCTATTAAGCATCTTTCAGGCCCTGAAAACCAGGAAAATGAGGGGGAGAACTTGTCAGATGCTGGAGTTCAGGTGTGTAAAGCAATATTTTGGCAGCCAAGTGCGTGGTCCGACCTCTTGAGCATCCCGTTGAGCTCAGGCAGTGATCTGAGTGTGCTGGGAGTTATTAAGGCGAGGAAATTTTATAAATTCCGGACTTTTGACACCTCCTTTGGGGCATCCCAGCTGCGGGAGGATGTGCGGGAGCTGCGACCACACGAGGGCATGTGCGCTCCACGTTCATGTGCTGGAAAATCCGCTCAGCCCCGGCTTTGGGAGGAGTTTGAATCCCTTCCCTTGGAGCAGAGCAAAACCCATCAGCGGCCGCTGAAAGCTGCCCTGCAAAGAATTTTTTTAAAATTTTTTTTTTAATTTTTTTTATTTATTTTAAAATTTTTTTTTCCTTTTTTTTTTTTTTCTTTTTTTCCTGTGTGCGCAGTTCCTCTCACGGCGTTTTTAAACGCCTGTTTTGGTGACCTGAACTTTCCAGCTTTGTGGTGAGCTTTCTGCACAACTTTTCTCTTCCAAGTTTTCTCTTCTTTATTCATTTTGCACCAGGCTGAGGCTTGAAAGTGGACAGGAAGCAAAGAAATGTTTGAGGGCTAAAAACTTCACTGAGGATGACGTGACTGAGAAGGAGTATTAGGTAACATTCTGTTGGGAAAAAAGTAACTTTTGACACGCTGAGTTTGGATGCGAAGAAAAGGTGAAAGAGGAGTGAAATTTGGCAAGTGGCAGCTCGGGATGACACCATTTGCTATTCAGAGAGGATTCTGGAAGGTTCTCTCACGTACCCATCAATCACCCAAAGGGTGGATGTCTGACTAACCCGAGCCATCAGTTACTCACTGCCAGAACTTCTGCAGGGGATAAATAGAGCAGCAACAGCTCCCTTCTTCTCCATGGCAGCCCGAGCCAGCAGCGTCATCCCCAAATGTCATCCTTGGAGGGATCTCATCAGCACTGAAGGACAAGCATTAATTTCGGCACAGAGATCTTCAGTTCCCTCTGCAGAACAGTCATCGCTGCTTGACACGGAACAAAAGTAACTTTTCACGAGGATGAGGCAGCTTTACGTGTAAAACCTGTCTAAAAAGGGAAAGAACGACACAGCTTTGTTCCTTGCATTCTTCCACTCTTTTTCTTTATTCATTTTTTTTTCTTTTTTTCTGTGTCCAGGCTCTGCTCTGAGGGCTTTGTGTCCACTGTGTGTGTTCACAAAGCTCTGTGGCTGATTCAACAGGCACGTGCTGTGCCATCAGCTTTGGGATGGGCCTTGTGCAGTCAGGGGAACTAAAAGTTTCCAGAGGTGATTCCTGGTTCCCAAATGTCAGAAAGGTTCCAGTCCTCCAGCCTGAGATGGAGGAGGGCAGAGGGAAGGACAGGCATGAGCTGGGAGAGCAAAGACTGCTGAAACAAATGGGGAATTTTAAAATATAACTCCACACCTAAAGCAGAATCAGTGGACTCAGCACTGAAAAGGAAATTCAGCAGAAAGGGCCTTAAATTTTTTCACACATTCTCAGCTCTGATGGTCCTCAGACCATTTCAGGTCAAAGGGACCAACAGAGCTTCCAAATCTGCCTTTCCAAACGTGCAGGAAATAAAACAGAAGAATAATTCACTGAGAAAGGACCTGCAAAAGTCACCCTGCCCATCAGCCTGGCCACAAAAGTTATTGAAGGGCATTATTCAAACACCCCTCAAACACTGCTAGGACTGTGAGATGCTGGGCAGGATTTTGGGAGGCTGACAGACCCAGAAAAGGAATAATTGTGATCTGGAGTAAATTGACCTGCTGGAAGCACTGCTTAGAGCCAGGGAGGGAAGATTTCCATCAGGAAACCGCATTTGGGACATGTAGGGTCTGATCCAGGTGGAGCAGCCTGGAGTCTTTGTGCATGGGCTGGAGACACCTGGGGCTGGACAGACACTGGGATAGGACAGACACTGGGGCTGGACAGACACTGGGACAGGACAGACACTGGGGCTGGACAGACACTGGGGCTGGACAGACACTGGGGCTGGACAGACACTGGGACTGGACAGACACTGGAACTGGACAGACAGACACTGGGGCTGGACAGACACTGGGGCTGGACAGACACTGGGGCTGGAGACACCTGGAACTGGACAGACACCTGGAACTGGACAGACACTGGGGCTGGAGACACCTGGAGCTGCCTCATTCCTCTTAATCCCAAAAAGAGCTGGGCATGTTTAGCTTAGAGGAGGCTGAGAGGATGGGGCCCGGCTCCGTTCAGTGTGATGGGATCAGGAGCATGTGCCATAAATTTAACACCGAGTTCCACCCTAACACGGGTCAGAACTTCCCATGGAGGGTGACAGGGCTTGGTGACCCCCCAGACCACCCGGCCGCTGCTGTGCCACCCGCCGCGGGTGACATTCCCTCTGCGAGGGCACTGAACCGGCTGATGCCAGCACGGAGGGGTCGCTCCGGTGGCTTCTGAGCCGCTCCGTGGGGACACAGCGCGGGTGCCACTGTCCCCCCGGCGGTGGTGGCACTGGCGGTGTCACATCGCGGTGCCGCGGTGTCCCCCGGGGGTGATGGCGCTGTCCCAGCGGTGCCCCTGTGATCCCCGGGGGTGATGGCGCTGTCCCAGCGCGGGTCCCGCGGCTGCCACCGCCGGGAGTGGCGGTGCTGGCACTGTCCCAGCGGTGCCGCTGTGATCCCCGGGGGTGGTGGCACTGTCCCAGCGGTGCCGCTGTGTCCCCCGGGGGTGGTGGCACTGTCCCAGCGCGGGTGCCACTCTGTTCCCCCAGGGGTGGTGGCACTGGCGGTGTCCCAGTGCGGGTCCCGCTGTGTCCCGGTAGCGGCGGCACTGGCACCGTCACAGGGCAGCCGCGCCGCCCCGGTACCGGTGACACTGGCACCGTCCCAATGTGGGTCCCGCTGTCCCGGTGGCACTGGCACGGTCCCAGGGCAGCCGCGGTGTCCCGGTACCGACGGCACTGGCACTATTCCAGTGTGTGTCCCACCGCCCGGTACCGGCGGCGCTGGCACCGTCCCAGCCGAACCCGCCGCCCGGTCCCGGCGGCACTGGCACCGTCCCAGTGTGTGTCCCACCGCCCGGTCCCGGTTCCATTGGCACCATCCCAGCTGAACCCACCGCCCGGTCCCGGTGCCATTGGCACCGTCCCACCCGACCCCGCCGCCGGTGCCGGGGCCCGGCGCTGCCCGGGGCGGGCCGTGGCCGCGCGGTTGCCATGGCGAGGCCCCGCCCGCCGTGACGCGCGCGGTGACGCCGGTCGGTGGCGGAGGGGGCGGCGCGGCCCCGGGGGCGCCGCGCGGAGCCGGAGCCGGAGCCGCCGCCGCCGCCCCCCGAGCCCAGCATGGTGATGGCCGAGCCCCGGCGGCCCCCGGCGCTGCTGCCCCGCGGGCTCGGGCCCGTCCGCGTCGGCTTCTACGACATCGAGGGCACGCTGGGCAAGGGCAACTTCGCGGTGGTGAAGCTGGCGCGGCACCGCATCACCCGCAGCGAGGTGGGCACGGCGCGGGGGGCGCGGCGGGGCCGCGGGGGCTGCGCGGGGCCGGTGTTCCCGGGAGCGCTCCGCTCCGTTCCCTTTTGTGCCGCTTTTGTCCCTTCCGTCACCTCCCGCGGGGACGCGGCTCCCGGGCCGCTGCCGTGGGGGGGTTCCCCCGCTCGCATCCTCCTGGGAAGGGCAGGACGCCCCCGAGGCCGCGGGGGGATGCCCGAGGATGTCACCCGCAGGATGTCACACCCCCCCCTCCCCACCCTAAACCCCCCCCAAGGATGCCACCCGAATGATGCCACCCCCAGGATGTCACCCCCAGGGTGGTGGCATCACCCCCAGGGTGGTGGCATCGCTGCCGGGATGGCACCGCAAGGATGCTCCGGTGCTGCTCCAGCAGCACTTTTTGCTCCCTGGGAAGGGTCAAACCTTGTGCTGTGCCTGCCGCTGTGCCCTGGATATTTTCGGGTTTCCTGACCTGGGCAATGCTGGGTTATCTGTTTCAGCAGAGGAACTTGTGTGTGTGTGTGTGTGTGTGTGCTGAATTCTTCACGGCATCCTGCAAGTTCACCAAATCCAACCATTTTTAGCCTCTTTGTTCAACCGCCCCCGTGTATTACCCGGTGATTATTGTTAATACCTGGCGCTTTACCTAAAACAAAAATGATTGTCAGTCTGCCTGG